AGGGGGCATGTGTACATGCCTGCTTTTGCTTTCCCAGCCAACCCGCAGCTGCCTGGGTTCCCTGCTGGATCTTCAGGGGGGGGAAGAGGCATGGGAAAGCACAGGGCAGGCATGGAAGGATGCCTGGGCTCCTTGCCTACCCCTCTCCAGTTGCCCTGCAGCCAAAGGGACCCTGGAGGAGCACAGGAAGGGAACCCAGGCATGTTTAGATGCCTTTCTTTCCCTCCCCAAACTGGGAGAGGGAAAGAAAGGCATTCAAGCATGGCTGGGCTCTCTGCCTATGCTTCTCCAGCAGCCCTGGGGCAGCTACAGGAGGGAAGGTAGAGAGGAAGCTTTCCCTGGTCAGTTTCACTCCCACAGCTGACTGGCGGACTCGGGAGTGAAATTGACTAGGGAAGCGCAGCCTGAGGGAAGCCGGTTTTCGGCAACCCGAAAGCCGAAAAAAGCCGAACAAGTTTGGAAAACTGTATTCGGAAGATAAAGTATTTATTTGGTATTTCTCCAGTTTGGGAAAGCCGAATGCACATCCCTAAGTACTACCAATGTCTTTCCAGAGAGTCTGCTGATGCTCTGACTTCACATCCAGGTATTTATCTGAACAAGACATGAAAATGACACCATGTCCACCCTGTGCTATGTCCTCAGACCTCAGGGGGGTGGCAGGACGTGGCCTGGCTGTGGCCCCCCAGATGCCCAGTCTTTCAGCAGAGTCCCAGAAACCAAATGACTAGCCTCTGGCAACAGGTTTTCTGAGATATGCTGCCCCAGAACATGGTGTGTGTGTGTATAAAGTGCTATCAAGTCACAGCTGACTTATGATGACTCCAGATATTCAAGGCAAGAGACATTCAGAGGTGGTATGCCATTGCCTGCCTCTGCACAGCAACCTGAATTTCTTTGGTGGTCTTCCAGTCCAAAAACTAACCAGGGATGACCATTCTTAGCTTCTGAGATCTGTATACATTGGGCTAGTCTGGCCATCGATGTCAAGAGAACAATTTATTCACAATGGCTAACAGATGCACCCAAATTTGCTTTCCTTTTCTTTTTTGAGCCACCTTGAGTCCTTCTAATGGAAGGAAGGTGAAATATGCATATTTCAGTTAATATAAGGAATGGAATTACTCTCCATGAATCAGTATACTCCTCCTTAAAGTGGAGTGGCCATCATGACATCCTAGGGCACTATTTCCCAGAACCCCATTCTACGTGGTCTGCAGAAGTGCTTCCCTTTTCTCCTGTCCTGAACCTTCTGCCCAACAACTTCACTACGTGTCCCGATCCCATCTGGGCAGGAGGCACCCTTACCACTTGACAGGGCATCTTGGGCTCCTTCTGCCTTAGAGAACTTTGCTTCTGCCATCACGGATCCTCCCCACATCTGCAACAAAAGCAAGGGAGAGGGGTAAGAGAAGGAACGGAATGGGCTGAAGAGATGGATCCTGACCCACTCCCAGACTCCTCATCCCTGACTCCATCACCAGAGCCGCTTTAACCACAGGGGTGAGACCCAGATTTGGGTTTCCTTCCCAGCCTAGTGAATGATCTAGAGGTAGAAATATCGAAGAAAATATGGGAATACACTGAAGAATTAAAAAAAGAGAGAGATGAAAGGAGGAGATTCCTTTCAAGAAGAATCTTTTGCCATTTTAAAAATTTGTTGCGGATGTTATGAAATGGGAACTTAGATGGCTAGAACGAGTTTGGCGACGGAGCTGCGGGATCATCTTTTAGGACATTTATGAAATCTTATGAACTGGTGGTGAAAGCCACAAAGAAGGAATTTTATGCGGTACCCAGTGCTTCTGCTAGCTCTCACCCAGCTCAATCATTTTTTTTTAATTTTTAAAATTTTATTAAACAGTTAAGAATACTATTACAAGGATAACATAAGATAGATTGTATAAAAAAACCCTTAACATAGAAAACATTGCTAAACTAATACTGGAGTCAACAAGTCTACATGTAGCTAATACCTTAAAATGCATGCAATATCGCTAGTCCATAGCTAAGGAGTAAAAGTATTTACAACAGTGGATATAATCTGACAGTAAAAAGCCACATAGAAAGCACAAAAAGCCAGTTTGGTGTAGTGGTTAAGTGCATGGACTGTAATCTGGGAGAACCGGGTTTGATTCCCCACTCCTCCACTTGCACCTGGCTGGATGACCTTGGGCAAGCCGTAGTTCTGGCAGAGCTGTCCTTGGAAAAAGAACAGTTTCTGTCAGAGCTCTCTCAGCCCCACCTACCTCACAGGGTGCCTGTTGTGGGGAAGGAAAGGGAAAGGAGTTTGTAAGCCGCTCTGAGACTCCCTTGGGTAATGAAGGGCGGGGTATAAATCCAATCTTCTTCTAGAAGAACAAACCACATGTATCGAGTCCATCTATAGTAGAGGATCTACTAGAGAAAGAAGATATGAGAAAAGGACGGTATGTGGAAGATAGGTAATTACCGGAAACCAGGTTGAGACAAAAGTGGTGATGTAGGAACCATCATCTGGCTTTGAATAATTCTCAGAAATTTTGTCTAGGATGCAAGACTCTTTGACTTTTTCTAGCCATTCCGGAATAGTTGGTGGTGTTGCATTTTTCCATCTGCAGGCAATTGCAGCTTTCACTGCTGCACAAAGCTTAAGTATCAATAATTTGTGATGACACAGAACTTTACAACCAATCCATGAGCCCAGTAATAGAAAGTCAGCTCTGGAAGGGATGGTTTTCCTTCATTATCTTGCAGATACAGATGCGGATTTGCCACCAAAACCCCCGTAAGAGGGGACAGTCCCACCGACAATGGCTAGCTATAGCCAGCTCGATTATTTAGATCACTAACACCCCTGTCAGAGGGAATAAAAAAAATTCGGAAAGTAGCTGTGAGGCTTTTGTGAACTGTTTCACGGACAAAATCTCGTTGTTTCGCCAGGATCTGCCAGCCAATGTTGATACAGGACGGCAACTGGAGACCCCTTGGTCGCCTTTGGATTTCAAAATGAATCAATTCAGCGGACTCTCTTGGGACAAGGTTGACAGAATCCTGGGTGCTGTTAAGCCCACCGCTTGCCTCCTAGACCCGTGTCCATCATGGATGGCAAAAGGCAAGTGGTGATGAAATATGGGTCTCCCTGGTGAATATTATAAATCTATCCCTGAGTTCAGGAACTTTCCCAGGGGCTTTAAAGGAAGCAGTGGCAAGGCCGCTCTTTAAAAAGCCATTGCTGGATCCTACTGATCCATCCAACTACTGCCCAGTCTCACACCTTCCGTTTCTGGGCAAATTAATCGAGAAAGCAGCAGCTGAACAGCTCCAGACATTCTTGGATGATGCCTCAGTCATTGATCCCTTCCAATCCAGCTTTCGCCCTGGCTATGGGACAGAGACGGCACTGGTCGCCCTCACAGATTGTCAAACTCGGGTCCTCATTTCCCATATATTGCTGTTGTTTTCTCTTCCTTACCTGTAACCATCCTGTATTGGGGCCACTGGGGGGGACAGATGGTGAGTGCATGTGAGTGTGTAACAACTGCTTTGCTTAGCTGCTTTGTAACTACTTTCTCAAGAGGCCTCCCGATGGGAAGAATGCGAATGACCTTGGATGCCTGTCTCTGCTAGCCGGCCTGTCATCGATAATGAAACTGTAGGTTTGTAGGTGGTGGTGGTGGTGGTGGGGGTAAGGAGCGCGCATGCTTGGTTTAGACAGGCTGCATAGATGGCTTGATTGGATGGGTCACTGGGCGAGGGGCTGTCTCAATTAAGTATAATACCAGGACTGGCACCAAACCCATTAGTTCCGACACAGACCAGCTCAGCTTGACACATCTTCATGTCTCAATAAACAAATCACTACAAGAGAGTGTTGTTGAGAGTGAGTTTGTTCAAGAGTCTGACACAGATGACCTCTCTAGACAACTGGATCGAGGCAGGTCAGTGCTGCTGCCTCTCTTTCTATGGAGGCTCAGGTCACAAATGTTGCCAAACTGGCATTTTCCCATCTGTGTCACGTTCGGCAATTGGCTCCCTTCCAGTCGCATCCTGACTTAGCCACAGTGATCCATGCAACGGTCACCTCCAGACTGGACTACTGTAACTCGCTCTATGCAGGGCTACCCTTGAGACTGACCTGGAAGCTCCAACTGGTCCAAAATGCAGCGGCACGTGTGCTCACTAGCACTCCCATCTAGAGACCATATACAACCGGCGCTCCACCAGCTGCACTGGTTCCAAGTTGAATACCAGACCAGATTCAAGGTCTTGGTTCTGCCCTTCAAAGCTGTACACAGTCTGGGACCAACATATCTTTGGGACTGTCCCTCCTGGAACACCCCCCCCCCCCGAGAGCACTGCACTCTATGAATAACAATATTCCGGTGGTCCCCAGCCCCAAAAGTATTCGTCTTGCAACCTATGCCAGAATCTTTTTGGCTGTGGCCCCAGCCTGGTGGAACACTCTTCCAGATGAGATCTGGGCTCTGTGGAATCCGACTCAGTCCTGCAGGACCTGTAAAACAAAAATGTTCCACCACCAGGCATATGGCCGAGGCAGTGACAGTTTCTACATAATTTGGCCTCCCCCAGCCCCTCCGCCCCTCTACCTGTTATATTGTTGTACCAGTGTCCACAAGCACACAGGTGACACACCTCACTCAGAAAAATTTTTTTATTACTGCCTAAGTCACCGTTTGATGTTAATCTTGATTTTGATTGTGATTGTTATTGTATGGACTTGTTCTTAATGGTTATATTATTGTTTTTAAATTGGTAACCCGCCCTGAGCCTTGTTGTACAGGGGAGGGTGGGTTAGAAGTCTAATAAATAAATAGCCTTGATGTTATACTGGACCCAACATTATTGCTGGAGAAGCAAGTTAATGTGGTTGCAAAAAAGTCTTTCTCCCAACTCAGCCTAGCCTGAAAAATAGCCCTTTTCCTTGATACATCTCATCTGGCCCCCAGGAACCATGCCACGCGGTGACAGCGAGAGTAGACTAGTTCAATGCACTGTACGTTGGTCTTCCCACAAAACCGATTCAGAAGCTCCAGCTGGTGCAGAACACCACTGTCTTGGCTCTTACCAGGAGCTAGAGGGAGCAGGCATATTACTGCGGTTCTGCAGTCCCTCCACTGGCTGGCCTGGACATGAGCCCTTTCTGTTATGGTCCCCACAAATGAAGAAAATGAGGGAAGAAGAAGAGATTGGATTTATACCCCGCCCTTCACCACCCAAAGGTGTCTCAGAGTGGCTTACAAACTCCTTTCCCTTTCCCTCCCCACAACAGACACCCTGTGAGGTAGGTGGGGCTGAGAGAGCTTTTGACAGAAACTGCTCTTTTTCAAGAACAGCTGTGCCAGAACTATGGCTTGTCCAAGGTCATCCACCAGGTGCAAGTGGAGGAGTGGGGATTCAAACCCGGTTCTCCCAGATTAGAGTCCGCGCACTTAACCACTACAACAAACTGGCCCTTGTTCTACAGTGGAAATGTCAAGAAGAAGAAGAGTTGGAATTTTATACTTGCTCTCTCACTGCCCAAAGGCATCTCAGAGTGGCTTACAATCACCTTCCCTTCCTCTCCCCGCAACAGACACCCTGTGAAGTGGGTGGGGCTGAGAGAGTTCTGAGAGAACTGTGACTGGCCCAAGGTCACCCAGCAGGCTTTTGTGGAGGAGAAGTGGGGAATCAACAGCAGTTCTCTAGTGGCCACCGCTCCTTAACCACTGTACCAAGCTGGTGTGCCTGAGGAGGTTAGGAAGGCACCCACTCTTTTGGCTTTCCGAAAACTAGGCAAGACTTAATTATTCAAGGCGGCTTTCTCTGTGCATGCAGTAGGGTAGGACTGTACAAAAGGCTTCCCAAAGTTACTTGGATGAATTATTGGGGACTGGAGTTTATATTCCTGTGTATAGTTTATTCTAAGTTATGCTATGTTATTTTGCATCATTTATTGGATCATTTTAACATTTATGCTTTCCTTCAATACTGTCTTTCCGATTTCTGGTTGGTTCTGCAACCCAAAGTTCATTTCATAGTGTATTGACTGGATCATCCTATTGACTACATTGAGTCCCATTAAACGGCAGACTATATTTAATGTAGATTCAGGCAGGTAGCCGTGCTGGTCCGAAGCAGCAGAACCAAGTTTGAGTCCAGTGGCACCATTAAGACTGAAAAAGTTTCATTTACGGTATAAGCTTTCATATGCAAGCTACCCACCGGAATCTAATTTTATGGAAGGCACCACATTAATCCGCATGAAATGGAACTCCATCAGTCTTATGAAGAAGCTTGCACAGGTACAGACTGATATTTCCTTCCTTACAAAATGCAAAACCCTGGACTATTCTGAAGAAGTGTGTTTGCACACAAAAGCTTACGCCTTGGAACAAAACTTTGTCTTAACGGTGCCACTGGACTCAAACTCTGTTCTATAATTAACGTACATGAACGCCCCACTGCTGGACCTCCTGATGGCACTGGTATTTCTGGCCACTGTGGGATACAGTGTTGGACTGGATGGACCTTTGGCTTGATCCAACATTGGCATCTCTTATGTTCTTACCTCCCCCCAACTGCAGATGGGGGGAGCACTGGTCCAAATGTGTATATTTGGGGCAGCCAATCAGCACGAACGATTCCTCCCATGTGATCACCCCTGGGATTTCTTCCTGGGCCGCCCTCCGTGGCTCAGAATTTATTAGCCTGGTGGCTATTTATTTAATCAGATGTATCTCCTGCGCCCTCTCCCCGGAATGGGACTCGAGGTGACTTCCAACATAATCAAATGCACCCGATAAAACAGGACAAAAGATACAATAAAAGAAAGGTTAAAAATAAAAATGATTAACGATCAGCCCCGGATAAAATCTCATATCCACCCGGTCATGCAGGGCAGGATGCAGGGATGCGGCTGGCCGGGGCACCCCCACCATCTCTCTCTACCAGCCGCCTGGCGGATCAGGAGACCCCCGAGGCCGCCCGGGAAAGAGCCGCCTTGCAAGCCCCGCGGACCCGCCAGGCAGCCGCCCCAGGACCGGGGCTAACAAAGGGAAACACCCGCAGAAGGGAACCCCGTTTGGGAAGGATTGAGACGCCTTCCTACCGCAGAACACTCGAGAGCCGAATTTCTGTCTTCCGGGACCGAATGGACTTACTTGAGAGTAAACCTTCCCAGGCTCCGGCTGCAAGGCTTTTTCTGCTTCTGTGTGCCTGAAGCCCTCTCCGCTCCCCCCCCCCCATGCTCGGCCTCTCTAGCGAGCAGCTCGGCTGTTTTAACCCTTTCACGGCTGCAGACCCACGAAGGAGGCGGCCTGCCCGTCCCCTGATAGACCGTGCGGGACGGGGCGCCTCTGAAGCCGCTGACCGGGTCTTTGGTGCTGGGCCTGGGAGGGGGGATTTGCGCGAGGGAGCGGCAGAGCAGGGAAGGGAAGGGTCGCTGCGCTTCAAGGGACGACTCGTGTAGGCTTGCCAACCTCCCTGTGGGGCCTGCAGGTCTCCCAGCATTATTTCCCCCAGGCGACAGAAAAGGGCTACTTGGCAGGGTGGACTCCATTAGATCCCGTGTGTGTGTGTGTGTGTGGGGGGGGTCCCACTCCTTTCCAAACCCCTCCATCCCTACTCTCCACCCTCCCAAATCTTCAGTTGGCATCCTTCATCAGCTGGCCATGGAAGTGCAAGCGGAGGTGGTGGTTAAAGAAAAGGGGGACTAACGCAAGGTCACGGGCAATGCTCCCTCTAAGCTGTGGAGTCTTGGGAGCAGAAATTCTACTTCGTGAGCGACTGGCATTAAAGTTGTGAGTGAGACATTTGGCTGCTGCATAAATTAGTATGCTCTGGAACCCTACTTCCTGAGCTAAGACAAAAATGTGTGAGCCGGAGGCTAAAAAACTGCGAGCTAGCTCACACTAACTCAGCTTAGAGGGAACACTGGTCACAGGACGGAAATCTTATTAGGGTTACCAGATGTCCTCTCTTTGGAGAACATGCCCTCTTTTGTGTGTGTGTGTTTGCCCTCTTTTGGGCTCTAAAAACAAATGAAAATGTCCTCTTTCAAGGGTTACCAGATGTCCTCTCTTTGGAGAACGTGCCCTCTTTTTGTTTGTGTGTGTGTTTGCCCTCTTTTGGACTCTAAAAAACGAATAAAAATGTCCTCTTTCGGGGTGGGAAGGTTATGAATATTTCTGGTTAGTAGTGATGATCAAAGCTTACATAGTCATAGAATCACAGAGTTGGAAGGGGCCATACAGGCCATCTAGTCCATGCCCCCCCTCAATGCAGGATCAGCCTAGAGCATCCCTGACCAGGGTTTGTCCAGCTGCTGCTTAGACTGCCAGTGAGGGGGAGCTCCCCACCTCCCTAGGCAGCTGATTCCACCGTTGCACAACTCTGACTGTAAAAAAGTTTCTCCTAATATCCAGCTGGTACCTGCCCACCCTTAATTTAAACCCATGATTGTGAGTCCTCTCCTCTGCTGCCAACAGAAACAGCTGCCTGCCTTCCTCTCAGTGACAGCCCTTCAGATACTTCAAGAGAGCAATCATGTCCCCCTCAGCCTCCTCTTCTCCAGGCTAAACATTCCCACGTCCCTCAGCTGTTTCTCACAGGGCTTGGTCTCCAGGCCCCCGAGTATACTCGTCACCCTCCTCTGCACCTGCTCCCTTCTGTCCACATCCTTTTTGAAGTGAGGCCTCCAGAACTGCACACAATACTCCAGGTGCGGCCTGACCAATGCATTGTACAGCGGGACTATGACATCTTGTGATTTGGATGTTATGCCTCTGTTGATACACCCCAAGATCGCATTAGCCTTTTTTGTCGCTGCAATCATATTTATCTTATGGTCCCTCTGTATCTCAAGATCTTGTTCATACACAGCGCTGCCCAGAAGTGTACCCCCCCTTCCTGTATTGTGTTCCTCATGTTTTTTACACAGATGTAGAACTCAGCACTTATCCTTGTTAAATTGCATCTTGTTCCCATTTGCGCACTTTTCCAGTGTGTTTGGATCTTGTTGAATTCTCTCTCGTCTGGTGTGTTTGCTGCTCCTCCCAATTTGGTGTCATCTGCAAATTTGATGAGTAGCCCCTCTACACCCTGAACCAGATCATTTATAAAAGTATTGAAAACTATTGGGCCCAGAATCAAGCCCTGTGGCACCCCCCTGGACACCTCCCTCCATTCAGATGAAATGCCAGTGACAACTACTCTTTGAGTGTGGTTCTCCAGCCAGTTCCCTATTCACCTAACTATCCTAGAGTCCAGTCCACAGGCCCCTGGTTTACTCATTAGAACATCATGGGGAACCCTGTCAAAAGCTTTACTGAAATCCAGGTAAACAACCTCTATAGTATTCCCTCAATCCAGTAAGCTTGTGATTCGATCAAAGGAAAAGAGGTTGGTCTCGCAGGACCTGTTGGGGACAAATCTGTGCTGACTTCCCTGGATCACCAAGTTGTCCTTTAGATGTTTGCAGATCAATCCCTTTAAAATCTGCTCCAGTATCTTCCCTGGGACAGAGGTCAGACTGACTGGCCTGTCGTTTCCTGGGTCATCCTTCTTCCCTTTTTTGAAAACTGGGTTAACATCTGCCCTCCTCCATTCTTGTGGCACATCTCCTGTCCTCCAAGATGATGGAGAAAGGCTCTGCAAGCTCTCTAGAAAGTTTTTTGAGCACACTTAGGTGGATACCATCCGGCCTGGGGGATTTGTAATCATTCAATGCAGCCAGGTGCTTCTCAACTACCTCTCTGTCCATGTCAACCAGCAGCCCAGATGCCGTTTCTTGCCTGCTACCATCTCTAGATGTGCCTGTTCTCTTCTTCAGGGGAAAAAAGTCAAGGTATTTGAAATGAGATTTGTCATAGTGATCACTTTTTTTGAAGTAGTCAGTTGGGAAAACGTGTCCTCTTTTTTTTGCTCAAAACATGGTAACCCTAACTTTACTGAATGAGTAATTAAATGGTGGAATTCACTGAAGGTAGTAATGGCCTCCAGTATAGATGACTTACAAAGCGGGCTTAGAGTCATGGAGCCATCAATACCTATTACTTGTGACTGAAGAGAGAGACTATATGCAGAGGCACTCAGAATAACCAGTGCTGGGAGGCAGTAGTGGGAGGGCCTTGGCTTCTGTGCCCTGTTATTTGGGCCTCCAGGGCAGCTGGTTGGCTACTGTGTGCAACAGGATGCTGGACTAGATGGACAGCTGGTCTGATCCAGTAGGGCTCTTCTTAAGTTCTTAGGGTGAGGATTTGGAACTCAGATCTCCAGAACTTAAACCAAAACTTGTTTTTTTTTTAGTTTTGCATCCATTTTATCATACAGTTTTTACTTGCTGTTTCTGTATCATATCGCAATAACATTTTATAGATTTCCCCCCCTAATAGGTGCTTTGAATCACCAGTGATTAATTGTTCAAAAGTAGTTTTCTCTCTTAGCTGGCCGCCTCCTTTGGCTCGTGGTTCTTTAAATTTGAATATCGTTTGATAATAGAACAATGACACAATGTTTTTTTCCTTCATTTTGAATGCCAAGTGTTTTATTTTTCCTTGCCTATCTGTCATATACACTCATAAGTTATATAATCAATTTTCTTTCTTATACTGGTGTTGCAATACACGACAACTGGGTAGGTCAATGGTGAGGTTGACATACTTATTCTATTCTAAAACACTGACCACTGCAGCAAATCGGTATACCTGTCAGGTTAAATTTTTTCACTACCCTTATTTTATTGTAGCTCTTTATTTCAATTAATGTATGGTTTAATAGGATCAATTGGGGTTTTGGTGCCTCCTACTGGTGGCAGGAAAGACCCTGAAAAGATAAGGAGAGAAGAGATTGGATTTACCCCGCCCTTCACTACCCAAAGGTGTCTCAGAGCGGCTTACAAACTCCTTTCCCTCCCCCTCCCCACAACAGACACCCTGTGAGGTAGGTGGGGCTGAGAGTGCTCTTGACAGAAACTGCTCTTTTTCAAGGACAGCTCTTGTCAGAACTACGGCTTGCCCAAGGTCATCCAGCCAGGTGCAAGTGGAGGAGTGGGGAATCAAACCTGGTTCTCCCAGATTAGAGTCCGCGCACTTAACCACCACACCAAACTGGCTCTCCCTAGGAGTTGCAAAAAATGGTAAACATTTTCCTTGTTCGAAAGCCAGTTGAATCCGACTCCAGGGGGCGGTGCTCATCTGTTTCCAAGCCAAAGAGCCAGCACTGTCTGTAGACGTTTCTGTGGTCATGTGGCCAGCGTGACTAAACCCTGAGGTGCATCGAACGCTGTTACCTTCCCACTGAAGCAGCACCTATCTACTTGCAATTTCTTGCGTTTGAACTCCTGGGTTGGCAGGATTTGGCAGAGACGGGAGCTCACGTGATCATGCGGCACTCAGGTCTCAAACTGCCGAGCTACTAACCTTCTGGTCTGCAGCTTAGCATCTTAACCTCTGAGCCACCGTGGTAGAGAAAAGTGGGGTATAAAAACCAACTCGTCTTCACCTTATTTCAGTATTAAACAATACTGCATTGAGTCTCAGTGAGGACTATAAATAATTAAATACTGCCACCACTCTGATATCTAAATATGTCTTTACTCAATAGGTATAAAAAAGCCAGGCACTGGAACGGAACACCTGCTTGTAGTTATAATTGGAACATTCATAAGGGGCTATTTGTGGATTTCCTCCCCGTTTATACGGAGGATGAAAAGGGTCAGCTTGCCAGCAGGTCCGAAGCTGAAGAGAAGGATGACTAAGATAGCTTCCTTTATGAGGAAGATAAACAAGCCATTTGTTTGAAACAAGCTCAGAAGAAGCATAGATTTGATCAACTGGAAGACGCTGCAAAATGCTGTAGCTATATCCCCCAATTAAATGTAAGTCTTTTGCTACTGGGGTTAAACCTTTTTGCAAGTTTAACAATGCAAAACATGCAAGAATATTGTTGCTCCATTCGATGTTTCATTGTTATCAGTAAAACAGTGTCTTGACTGGTACAGCTAAAGCAGCGTTCCCATGTAGTCTGTTACCAGTACAATATCACAAAGCGCACGCCTGGCTGGGCTCAGGTGTTTTAAGACTAGAGTGTTACCTGTAAATATTACTCTAACCACAGTTTGCTAGCGCTGGTAGCATCTAAACTTAAAATGATTATTTTTTACAAGATGATGGAGATAACGCCTTGGCGGGGAGGGCAGGGTATAAATCGAATAAATAAGTATAGCAGCTACGTTAGTCTGTTGCGGGGAATATCAGGGTGGGGCAATTAAACAACTAACAAGTTTTATTTTTAGCATAAACGTGGTCCCTACTGCATGCATCTGACCGAGAGGGCAAGAGACCACATAAGCTTACACTAAGGCAGCCCTGTAGCTAGGGATTTTGGGGTGAGGGGGCCTCGGGGGGTACAGCTAATTAAATCAAAGCTAATAACATGAATTCATTTTGGGGCCAGCCCGGAAAGGAGGGGGCCCGGAAGAAATGCTAGGGGGGCGGGCCTCGTGGGCCCCACATTAGCTATGGGCCTGCACTAAGGTGCTGCGAGACTTTCGTATACGGTTGAGTGTCCATTGAGAAAAATGACTACAAGGTAAATAAAATTCAAAGCTGCTGTTCAAAATTGCTACTCACCGTACACACACATTAAGGTGGGGAGCAATGAATGTAGACCTGATAGTCTCGTAAGCCTCTTGATTGCTTTTTCACTAGCGTGTTTTGAATGGGAAAGTGTTTATCGGGAAAAGTCTATTTGTTACTGGCACTCGCCAAGTGCATCTGTTGTCCTGACCCTGGTACAATTCTGGTCCTCCATTCGCTCTGCCCATGCCAGGCATTTGTTAAAGGGTACCAGAATTCAAAATCCAAGTGCCTATCTGACTGAAAGGGGGGGGGGGAGGAGAAAAAGACAGAAAGACTGAAGTGTTTTTTAAATGAATATTTATGACACATACCTAAAGTACCTTCAGTTGTGTTTGGTTATAAAATACGTATCAAAACACTGAATTACACAGCACCTTATTAACAAGTTCATTCATTTCACTGGAAGAACAGAATAGGACAATTTACAAAGCAGGGACGTAAATTTACGACAACACAGAAATAAAACTATTTACATTAAAAAAAATGTACAGAGTCCTACCTGGAGTGGGTTTTTTTTGGGGGGGGGGCCCAGGGGGCTGAAAGTAAACAAGCACCATTATTTACATAAGATCACATGACTTGGCCACCGCCCAACTCACTGTTAGAGACAGATGTTGGTCTCTAAAGGAAATAATCCGGGAGATTAAAGCAGGTCTAATTTTGGTTGTAATAATAAAGTTTAACCACACAGTGGCAGCTGTTGTACGAACAAGGAACCACAATGAGAGTCGACTGAGAAAAACAAAAGTTAAGGTAAGAGAATATAAACAAACCCCACACCTTTCACATTCACTATGGTATTCAACAGCCGAATCTGTTTCCTGCTCCTTGCAGGAAGATGATATTCAACATAAAGTTAAGTTGCAAAGAAGAAGAAGAGGAGGAGATGGATTTATACCCTGCCCTTCACTTGGAGTCTCAGAGCGGCTTACAAACTCCTTTCCCTTCCCCTCCCCACAACAGGCATCCTGTGAGGTGGGTGGGGCTGAGAGAGCTCTGAGAGAAACGGCTCTTTTTCAAGGACAGCTGTGCCAGAGCTTGTGACTGACCCAAGGTCACGTCAGCAGGTGCAAGTGGAGGAGTGGGGAATCAAACCCGGTTCTCCCACATTAGAGTCCGCACACTTAACCACTACACCAAACTGGCTCTCAAAACTGAAAATGATGTTTTGAGGCTCAATTCTTCTTCAGGACTCCCGAGCCAACATGTCTCTTGGGTTATGTTACGCAGGATCTCTCTGGAGGGCTAAAATTTTAATACAAGGAGCCCATTTTTCATACCGTAACACAGTAAGGAAATCTTGTAGATAGTATTATGTCCAGAGGCAGACATATTTAGAAATACACAGAAATGAAGGAAAAGATTTCTAATTCTGACTCGGGGGCTTCAGCCTAAATTTCTTCCCCCCGCCTCAGAAGAATAATAAACTAATTTCATTCATTAGAAAAGATGCAGTCAATACAATTTCCCTTATAAATTTCGAAACAACGATGAGAATGCTGCAATGGAAAAAAAAACAAGCTTTAAAAGTATTCCAATTTTTTCCCAATTTGCCCCCTACTGTGGATCTTTTAATCTGGTGGTGGAAAGTAAAGTCAGCCGATTTATGGGGACCCCATAGGGTTTTCGAGGCAAGAGACGAACCAGAGGTGGTCTGATTTGCCACTGCCTGTCTTTGCATAGCAACCTTGGAGTTCTTTGGTGGCCTCCCACCCAAGTACTAGCCCGGGCTGACCCTACTTAAACTTTCAAGATCTGACGAGATCAGGCTAGCCTGGGCCAATTTTAATCTGATCCCAGCACCCAAATCCTAGAAACTTTATGTCCTTGGAAAATGGTAGAGTCCCATATATGTTCTTATGTTGTTGTTGTTGTTGTTCAGTCACACAGTCGAGTCCGACTCTTCGCGACCCCATGGACCAGATCACGCTAGGCCTTCCTGTCTTCCGCCGTCCTCTGAAGTTTGCTCAATGAAGTTTGCTCAATGTTCTTATAGCATCCATCAGCTCAAACAAACCTTAAACACAAGAAAAAAAAATCCCACTCATTTTAAACAACTTAGATAAGGTGATAATTAACCAGAAGAGATTAAGTTGGCAACTGTGTTGTAATACAACCATCAGGGCAGACAGATGACAAAAATCATACTTTCTGTAAATTTTATAAATCCATAGGGGGAATGAAGCATTTCAATCACCATGAAATAATGTCTAGACTTGCCTTAGGTAGAAAACAGATCATCATTCCGCATTGCACAAAATCTGCTCAGAAACACACCGTTTCCCAAGTAAGGAATAGCAATAGCAGTTGATGCATATATACCTGTATTAAAATGGCCTAGAAGGTGTTATAATTATTATTTGTCTGCTGCTACTTTAATGACATGTATTAATATTCAAGCCATGGTCAGAGAGCCATTTTAACAATATTTTTCGTCATTCCAGTGAAATCAACCTGGCCTTATTTCAAAAAGATAATCCGGATAGTTCTATATTTGTGTCTAGGTGGCCAGAGACATGGAAATCAAAAAGCCCATCCATTTCTACTGTTGAGATTCTCATCTGGGATAACGCAGGAGTAAGTTTGTTTGCATGTTCCCTTCTTCCTTTCAAAATCTTCTAGCAACCCCCTTTCCCAGATCCAGGCGGGAATACATGGCATTCTAGAAGACAGGATCCACATCTGCCTAAGAAGCCTGTTTGCTCTTCTGATTATCATTTAATGACTGTTAGCAGACTTGGATTTTTAATACAACATTAGATGTGTGCAATTATATAGCTGCTGCAATTAAATGTTGTTTGTTTTTAATGAATATTGGACAGCAATCATTTTTTTGTTATACTGCTGTCTTTTTCTGGTCAAACAGCCTATTGGCTTTAAGGCCTAGATGGGAAATTCTAACAAGAGGTTAGGTTTCTAGGCGCCGACCTACACATTACTTAGGATAAGGTGCCAGAATTCTGAACAGACTGCAGGAGCTGGGTCATCTTTTTGGGTGTCCCCCCTATGCGAAGAACTCCCTGAATGTTCTAGAATTAGCAGAAGAGTATTTATGTAATTTCTGTTTACTACACCTGGGGTGAAGCATTCAAAAATACGACACCCGTTCTTACAAAGTCACACTCCAGATTTCCACTTCCTCATTTTATATGATACACAGAATTGGCCAAAGTCACAGTAAAAAAAAAAAAAGTGTTTGAAGTTCTCAATCATAACACCCAAGTAGTAATTTTGTTCCCTGGCAAACGATATATACGTACACACACACACACAAACACATTGACTTGTATCACAATATTGCTTAGAAACGAAATCCAACACCCTAGCCCACTCCTCTGCTACAGATTCAGGAAAAGAAAGTTCATCTCTTAACTTGCAGATGCTTAAAGCCAAAATACCTGGCTCAAGGTGACAGAAGCTATATCGTCTGTATACATGTCACTGTGCTAGATATTAACCTCTTAGAATAAGGTGATTTGGAAGTACAATGACAGTCAGGTTCATGAGTATCATCACAGTGGCAAAAAAGCTTGGAAGTCCAAGTATTTCTTTTTTTAAAAGAGCATTTTTTTTTTAAGTCAGACATGCTCAGTTTCATTGGCTTAATTTAGATAACGACAGCTGTACTGGCGGCAACACTTGTGTCAAGCACACTCAGGAAAGACAATACGTGAAATCACATTGTTATAAATAAATCAGTTCTTCATTTCAGGCGACAGGAATCAGCAACAAGAGATGTCTGCTACAAAATAAGATTTGCCCCTTTAAATCAGGCCCGTTCAGCTCCTCACCCAAAGACAAGTTTAATACGCGGATTGCTTTGTTGTAGCTGCCTTGTTCAACAAGTGCCACATTTGAGAGAGACGTTTCAATCAACGACAAAACAAAAACAACCCCACCCCACCCTTTTATTCATGATCTTAGCAGAACAGACATCATTCTAGAACACACATCCCGTCTGGAAGTGATCATGTGGACACACTGGAATCGGTTTCCCCCTTATCGGGTGTGTTAAAACAAGGCAAACAAGGATAAATCTCTATTTCAGAATTCTCAACTAAGCAATGTAATGTTTGTTTTTAAAAAACCACACACACACACACAAAAGACTGGTACCGGCCCAGTCCTAGGCACGTCTTTCCCCCACCCCCCCAAAGCAGTATCATTTAAAATGTACGAGAGTTCTCAGTAATACTATTTTGAAAGATTCGACGTTTTGGAATGGAAGTGATCGTTGTCCTTTAGGTCTGACGATGAAACGAATGACGAAGTTTTTCAAGGGGCGAGGGAGCCACACAGCAATCAATGCTCGGAGGGAAGGAAGAACTAAGTAAAAACCTGAAAACGTCTATGTGGTATGACCAGCTGCTCCGGCAGCAACCGGATGAGAACTCTTTATGCTTTAAATGTTCAAAGCCCAAAGGCTCTTTTTTGGCCACTTTCCCCACACAGAAGAAGCCGTATGGTCCACCTGATTCCTGGTAGCTCCATCGAAGTCCTGCTGCAGTCTTCACACTAGTTATATTCACAACTTAGTTTGATATTGTGGTGCCGAAAAGACCAGTGGTCAATACCCAGAAGTCAGCACAGCGAAGCGGCAGTCACTTGGCTGGATGTAGCGGCCGCTAGGATTGCTGCGCGAGACGCCTGAAGTGAGGTAACATTTGGTTTTCGGGAAGATAGAGGGCTAGTTCCAAAGCAACGAGCACTGTGAACTCAAATGCAATGAGATCTCGTCTGTTGAATCTAAACCTCTCTTCTAACTTCTGTAAGAGATTTTTAAAAGAGAGAAGAAATAATAATAATAAAAAGATTAACACTGGGCTGCCAGAAGCCATGCCAACGTTTAGAGTTGTAGGCAAATTTATGAGTTAATTCGTTAAACTTTAATTAATTCATTAAACACAGATCCCAGGACAGCATGCATGGGATTTCTGAAAAGTCTGCCTTCAAGGGACTGACCAGTCTCAAATCTGCTTAGCTTCAGCGGGGGGGGGGGGGGGGGGGGGAGAGGAGGAGATTGGACTGGATGGGCCACTGGCCTGATCCAGCATGGCTTCTCTTATGTTTTTATTTTTAACAGGGTCCCTCTGTCAAAATGGTACCTTTCAATTCACAATCAGAAATATTAGATTGTGTATCACTCTGGGGTTTTTTTGGTCATTTTTATGGTGACAACTGAAAGAAGACCACTTCTGTCGAAACATCCTAGGGCTGCCAAATCCCCCCGGGGGGCGGATTTCCCCCCGCTTTGGAGGCCTGATTTCCGCCCCCGCGGAATCGGGCCCCGGGGGAAACCCTATCCCCACGTGCACGTCACAGGGAAGTGACGTCATGATGCCGGGCACGCTGGGAGCGGGGCCACAGCCATTTGAGGGGGAAACTCTATGTTTTCCCCTCAAATGGCTGTGCCCTGCCCCCAGCGTGCCCGGCGTCATGACGTCACTTCCCTGTGACGTGCATGCAGCGCGCTTTGTGTGCCGGGAGCAAAGCCAAAGTCCCCCGCCGGCAGGTAAGTCCGGACGTGGCAACCCTAAAACATCCCCAAACTTGGATCTGGTATGTACTCTCAATGTGGAAATGCATTAGATGTTTTCAAGCAAATAACACACGAGCAAGCGGAACTAGTATGCAAATCTTACACAGAGATTTAGGGAAAAGGTCTGTAGGGTCTTCAGAGTTCTGGATAGATCGGGAAGTTACTCTGGCTATACTTACATCAATAAGGTGTTTGACTTCATGTTTCCTGAGATCGCTGCTAATCTTGGCTGCAAGGAGCACGCAAGCACCGGCGCACAGTTTTCGGTTCTGTTTATTGAGCTTGCCTTGGAGAACAAGCTTCTCAAAGTAAACGTAAGCCATGGAGACAGTTACCGGCTCCAGGTTGCATTCCATACTCAGGTTCCGCATCTCTCGCTTCAAACTGCCCGTGGGAAGGAGGAGAGAAAAGACATCGATTTCAAACCCAGCTTCCGTGGTTTAGGAAGCATGCACTTAAACTTAGGATTCTCATTTCTCCTCTGTCGGGCAGCCTCAGTGTTACCCAAAAGCCTTTCACAGCTAGCAGTTCATCAGAATGCTTGCAAACAGATTATATATCCTCCTTGTGAGGAGGAAGAGGATTTTTTCTTTTAAAAAGGGTACCTCCACAGCTTTCCTGTATGATAGGGATTTTGCTGATTGTTATACAAATAGATTCCCAATCAAAAAAACAATTGAAGTCAAAATGAGGAGGAAAGTCTAGGGGTGCGTTCAGACGGGGGCTTTACACCGGTTAGGGTGCCGGTTCCAATCGATGTACTTACCGGCGTTCAGATGGGGCACATCTGCCTCCTCTCCCTAACAGCCCTTTACACCGTTGCACTCTGCTACCAGGTCCCAAGTGGTGGTATACAGAGTGTAACGGTGGTAAACGATGCACCCCGGCGTCTGATCGCTGTCCACCGGTGCCTAGGCATTTCCGTCGGAAGCCTGAGGCTTCCGGCTTTCCCCCGCCATTTTATTTTAACCCTAAGCGATATGCGCTCGGGCGAAGCTTCGCCCTGAGCGTCTGTTTAAATTTTTTTTAAAAAAACTCACTTTCCCGGAGGAGTTCGGGACTTAAGGGAGGCCAGGTTGGGATTTAAACTTTAAAGGTAAGTCCTTACCTTTAAAGTTTAAATGTAATGGGGGGGGAGTTTGAGCATGCGCAAAAATCGCCATTCTCTGAATGGCTGCCTGTGCGCATGCTCAAACTGCTTAAAAAAAACAAAAACGCCGACGCCCGCAGCGTGTGAGCGGGCGTCCAACGGAGGCATCCGGAAGAAGGAGGGTGAGTCTGATCGCGTTTCTGCCGGCATAAACTGCACCGGTTCCAACCGGTGCAGTTTATGCCGGCAGAAAGGCTGCGTCTGAACACACCCTTAGTGTTTTAATTGCAATCAAGACACCTGAAAACAGGCCAAACCAGCCTATCAAAAATTGACTGCTTGCTGAACACAATCAGGAAGCATAATTGGTTACAAAGAGCAATGCATCGTTTGAGTAATAGTCCACTTATTGGTCAAATGTAAAGAAAGCTGTGCCTAAATAATATCTTAAAATGTTTACTTAACCTAACCTGAATAAGTATTGGCCAAGGAAAAACAAAGGTGTCTTTTTCTGATACGAAGCTAAAATCCCTTTTGACCCAGACACTGCAAAGTTTTACCCTAAACAACTAAAAACCATGAACTCTATGCCTGTCTTCTATACCAAAAGAATGTTGTTTTCTTATCTGCTAGCATCAGCTAGAAAATCGATCTAACCTACAAGAGGAAGGCCTACTATTTAACAGGCCTTTCATTACATCCTAATAAAATCTTACTTAGGAGAAAAATCTATAAAACCAGAAAAATATGAATAATCAGAAGAACAAAAAATCTTTAAATTCCCATTCATACTACATGATCAAGGTCACAATATAATGAGGATGGACATGCTACTGGTTGTCAGAACAAAGTTTGAGTCCAGTGGCACCTTTAAGACCAACAAAGTTTTATTTGGGTTTTTTTAATTATTTATCTTATTATTTTATGTATCTGAAGAAGTGTGCTTTGCACACGGAATTTTATGCCTTGAATAAAACTTTGTTGGGGGGCTACTTTGGACCCCAACTTCGTTCTGCCACTTCAGACCAACACGGCTACCCACCTGAATCTATACTACTGGTATGTAGGACACGAACCATTTCTTTCCCTGGCCTAGGAATACTGGCGTTTAGGAAGTATTCAGGGTCAGGTTGGACAACACACAGATTTCCATGGCAACCAGAAGATGCTCAGAGCTCACAACAGCTCAACAGGGATGGTCTCTGTCTTTTGCAAAAACAACTGATCTTATGGGTCCCAGGGAGGAGGAACATGCAGTCAGATTAATGGTGACCAAGGAGGATTCCACAGGGAAGTTCGGACGGGTTTTGTATACCCATCCAAGAAGATGAAAAGAGGTCAGTTCTGTAGCCACTTTCCCCTCCAGTTGTGGAGTAAAGTTCTGATCCCATTGGACATCCATGTCCCAGACAATCTGAGAATTTACTGCTGAAGGCCCAAGTTGAAAAAGCCAACAGACCAGATCAACATGTACATTTATGGATGGCTTTGTACATCCGAATGCAACAAATATGACCAATACCAAGGCCTACTTCTTAGCAAGGTAAGCCCGTATACAGATGGTACTATTTCAGACTGCAAGCACATGTGTGTGGGTCCACATAAATTAGGGCCAAATTAGATGTTACAATGTGGCTGTCATTTCTCCCCCTCCACATCTAAATTGCTTTGTGTTATGGTGTCACAAATATCTGTGTGTGTTTTTTTTCTGTGGACAATGACAGCCAACAATGCCAGGTGGGGAAATACAGACTGCGACGTTGTGACCTAAACCATATTCTGTTGACCTTTGGGAGGCGTAATTAGATATTTTGCAGCTATTAGCCTTTCATGCTCCAAATAGTGTCTAGAGTACAAGTGGTACTATAAAGAAATAATGATGTCATCTTGGGAATATTTATGGAAAAATGCACTGAAGATATCAACATGTAATAATTTAAAAGAAAAATTGTTATAAAATGATGTATAGATGGTATATGACACCAAAAAAGATTGCCAATATGAATAGTAATATGTCAAACAAATGTTGGAAGTGCAAAAAGGTAGAAGGCTCGTTTTATCATATGTGGTGGACATGTGAAAAAGCTAAAAAGTTTTGGGCTGAGATCCATGAAGAAATGGAAAAAATAGTGAAATGTAAATTTAAGAAAGAACCGGAAATATTATTTTTGGGACTAAAAATGGAAGAGGTCAATGTGGCAAAAAGAACATTGATGTGGTATATGATTACAATTGCCAGAATGACCAATGCTCAATGCTGGAAGCAAGATATAGTTCCGGGAAAGGAAACTTAATAATATGGAAGCAGAAGACTTTTTTGCGGACTGGAAAGATTTAAAGGACTATTTGGAAAAATACTGGGATGTAAGGGACAATTTATTTTGCTTTAACAATTATTGATGGATAAAGGTATAACAATGTAGAGATTAGTTACCTATTGAACATGTTATGAGAAAATGGATGGAAGACAGGAATTTAAGAATTGAGCAGGAGGTTGGAGCACTGTGGGAAGCCATGTGGGGGGGGGAAAGGGAGGAGGGTAGGATGTAAAAGTGTATACATTTATAACAAATGTTTGACTTGGTTGATTATATCCTAAATAAAATGTTTTTTTAAAAAAAAATAGAGTACAAGTGGTACTAAATAAGGGGTAAACCAGGGTTTGTTTACATACCCGTATCCAACACTTGGTAAAACTGCCATACCATCACAAATTGTTTCTAGTAGAGTAAGGTAAAGGTAAAGGTTCCCTTGCTCGAAAGCCAGTCGAATCCGACTATAGGGTTGCGGTGCTCATCTCCGTTTCAAAGCCGAAGAGCCAGCGCTGTCCGAAGACATTTCCGTGGTCATGTGGCCGGCATGACTAAACACCAAGGCGCACGGAACGCTGTTACCTTCCCACCGAAGTGGTACCTATTTATCTACTTGCAATTTCTTGCTTTCGTCTAGTAGAGTAGTTCAACACATTTCAGCATTTTCCGCTGAAAGTTATCACCTGTTCAATACTCATGTGTGGGATGCTGCCCAGTTCATAATAGGCTATGGGCTGCAATCCTACACATACAAAGTTAGGATAACTGGGACTGGGTAACCAATGGTTACTAACCATGCACAAAGCTGTGTGTATTTAATCACAGAATGACTATTTAGGACAACTCAGGAGGGGAAACTGAATTGTCCCAAAGGGGCTTACAATCATTCATTCATTCATTCATTTTATACCCCGCCCTCCCTGCTGAGGCAGACGCAGGGCGGCTTACATAAAATTCCACATCTAAATACAGTTAAAACCAAACATAAAACAATCCTACCTACACAATTCATTTATCAGTTCTCATAAAGTGCTGGAACAGTGATCTAATAAAGTGATCAATGCTCCCTCTAAAGCTGTGGAGTCTTGTGAGCAAAAACTCTACTTTGTGAGCTACTGGCATTAAAAAGCTGTGAGCAAGCAGTTTGGCTGCTGCATCAATTAGTTTGCCCTGGAGCCAGCCTTCCCGAGCTAAGACAGAAATCTGTCAGCTAGAGGCTAAAAAAAGTGTGAGCTAGCTCACACTAACTCAGCTTCCAGGGAACACTCTAATGCTTCCCCTGCACACTTCTTTCTCCCCGCCACCCTCAGTCTTTCCTTACCTTCTGATTTTGCTCAGTGTCAGCCTGATGTGAGGAAACTTCTCTTTAAAAGTTTCATTCATGTCCTTTTTAAGGTCTGAGGGTTTCACGTATTCTATGACTGTGGTCTGAAAGGAAAAGTTTAATTTTAAAGAAGGCTTTAAAAACGCTAGCTTTAACAGAAAAAAAGGACCAAAAGCCTCTGAAATGCATGAGATGCCAATCCATCGCAAGGGGCAAAATAGATGTGTGCACCCTCGTGTCCCCTCCAGGACTCCAATCTAGTCCCAAACAAAGCCACCCATTACAGTCGGCCTCCAAGTGTTCCAGTCCACACATACAGCTAGTTGGTCACGGGGCCTGCCTCTGAGCCAGGATCTGTGTATCACTGTTTTGGTGATTATAACCATGGTGCGAGCGTAGGTTTATATGCACACTAAGGGGGCCCAAAAAACCGTGGAGGTCAGTTCTCTCATCAGCGTTCCAAAATGTGGCCTTGGCTGTCAGAAAGGGCAACTTCAGAGCAAGATGACATTACTGGGCTGGTGTCATGTTAGGCTAAGTGTGTCACTCAACACCGACTCTCTTTGTACAGACTCACAGTCTGAGGAATCCCAGATGAGAAAAGTCTTAAATCTCTTTTGAGGACAGAAGGTTTTCAGAGCTCTCTGGTAATCTCTTAATCCTGTGATCCTTGGCACCCCGAGTGAAGCGCGGCACCGAGAGAGTTTGTACGGCTTCTCTTTTTGGCAATGCACGCAAAGAAAATGCCATCAGGTTCCCAAGGGTATTTTGTGACTGCCAGGTGTCGCGTCGGAGGGAGGTTAACAACCTCAACCCTGCGATAAGGTGAAGTAACAGCTGTTTGCTTGGAACCAGCATTGTACAGGGGCTATAGCACAGGACTTGACCCTGGGAAAGAAACCTGAGTCTGTGACAACTTCCTTGCTATGTCCGAACAAAGAGCTGTCCAGCCAACCACCTTGGAGAACACAGAAGCCAGACACGGCAGTGGTAGCCAGTTACGTGGCTGCCATTCTCCTGCCTACCTTGCTTATTTCTTCAGTTATTTCCGGGCAGCTATAAATGCTACAGGGCAGTTAATGTACCACTTCAGAGCATTCAAAGCAACACACACACGGCAATTGTCAGTACAACTGCCTTGCAAGGGAGGGCAATTTTAATATTCCTCTATTTCAGATGTGGGGTTGGGGCAGGGCTGAGACAAGGCGGTTCACCCAAGGGAATTTATGTCCTACGGGGGAGTTAAAACAGAGACTTCCTGGTTCACATCTAATTCCTGGTCCTATCTGAGGAGGAGGAGGAGGAGGAGAGATTGGATTTATACCTCACCCTTCACTCGGCTTACAAACTCCTTTCCCTTCCCCTCCCAACAGACACCCTGTGAGGTAGGTGGGGCTCATAGAGCTCTTTCAAGAACTGCCCTTTCAAGAACAGCTCTTGTCAGAACTATGGCTTGCCCAAGGTCATCCAGCAGCTGCAAGTGGAGGAGTGGGGAATCAAACCCGGTTCTCCCAGATTAGAGTCCGCACACTTAACCACTACATCAAAAAATTACGAAGCCAGCACTCACAGAACTACTGATTTAAAAGAGAAGAAGGGATTTGATTTATACCCCATTCTTCACTCAGTGCGGCTTACAATCTCCTTCCCTTCTCCTCCCCAGAACAGACACCTTGTGAGGTAGGTGGGGCTGAGAGAGCTCTTTCAAGGACTGCACTTGAGAGAACAGCTCTGAGAGAACTTGTGACTGACCCAAGGTCACCCAGCTGGCTCCATATGGAGGCATGGGAAATCAAACACAGTTCTCCCAGATCAGAGTCCGTGCTCCTAACCACTACACCAAACTGCTTCTCATCTATGCTGTCGTGCACTGCTCTGACCTGGAAGTCACAGGCTAGCCTGATCTCGTCAGATCTTGGAAGCTAAGCAGGGTCGATCCTGGTTAGTACTGTGATGGGAGACCACCGACGAAACCCAGAGTCACTACACAGAGGCAGGCAACGACAGATCACCTCTGAACGTCTTTTGCCTTGAAAACCCAATGGGGTCGCCATAGTTGGTTGCAACTTGATGGCAAAAGAAACCAATGAACCCCAAGTACTCTCAGCATCTTACCATGTACGAGGCAAAGATGAGGACCCGTTTGTGCTTCCCACACGGCCACTGGGGGTCATCAAGGAGATTGGGATTGTACTCTGCTAGCTCACCAACTTCATTTCCTGCGAGGAAAAACAAAAGAGAGATACATGAAGCGCTCAGCAGGCTTGATGACGTTCGAGAAGAAGCAGCATATCAAAGAAACCCCTTCAGGATTCTAGAAATCATTTGCAAACAGGAGGAGGACAAAGACAATGAAAGCGGCCTTCTGGAACTGTTGAGCTGTTTCTTTACGAAGCAAGAAAAGAAAGCTTATCAATGTTCCCTTCTAAGCTGAGTTAGTGTGAGCCCCATAGTGAGTAACATTTTGTTAGCCTCTGGCTCATGCATTTTTGTCTCAGCTCAGGAAGAAGGGCTCCAGAGCAAACTAATTAATGCAGCAGCCAAATCACTCACTCACAACTTTAATAACAGTAGCTCACAAAGTAGAATTTTTGCTCACAAGACTCCACACTTTAGAGGGAGCATTGGTTGGAACACACCAGCCAGGACTAGAGGGTATGAAAGAACTATATACTCGCTTATCTTTCCTCACAGGTC